TGCAAATGGCCAAAAAGGCCAAGAAAACCCAGAAATCATTAGAAATCACCTAAAAATCCCAAAATCATAAATTACCCGTTCTCTTCGTGTTATCATTGAATGGTTCTGTGATATGTTAATTGCCTGAGTTCTATAAAGTGTATAGAGATCCTACTTTGAAGTTAATTCCATAGATCTATTCATCGGAGATTGCTCCACGTTGGCTATACTTTTGCAATCGTCAAATATTAATCAATGCTTGATCTTGCTCCAATCTGACCTACTTGCTTGAAATGAACTGATCAAATAATTTTCTTGAAGAGTGGCTGTAAGAATCTTGGTTTAAATAAATTTTACACACCATAATTTATAAGCTGAATTTGTCATTTGCCACTGGGCATTAAAAATAAATCGAAAAACAATATCAGAAATGAATCCACAAGGACAAAGTACACCAAAAATGGCTGCCCAACATACCATTCGACCACAAGACAAGGTGCACATGCCAGCCGGTCCGTATCGTCCAGCCAGTGCTATGATTCCGTCTGCAGTGCCACGTCCTACGTCAAGGGCCAACAGTGAAGTTGGTGTTGGTAAGAGTTCCCTTTCAAGCATCTCTTTCGTTTTCTGTCATTTTAGCTCAATTAAATGTGTGAAGTTCTCAGCGATAATAACCAATCAGGCAACTACACTTCTCTATTGACTAGCTGAAAGATACGTTGATCTTAGAACTGCTCGCTGTAAACGACTTAAGAATGCTCGGAGCAATAACAATTATAACGGGCATACAATTCAGCTTTTAGTTTTCGTCTCACTTCATCTGAAGATCACTCCTCCACTAGAAATCACGCCGATTCCAGAAATCAGCACCTCGATTTTTCGGGATCATAAATCGTAAATTCCCAATGAAATGTTAAAAAAGGCAGATGAACTCGTTCCGTTATGTATTCAGATGGGATTTTTTGCAATCCATTTGAAGCGCACTGAAAAGTTTACAGGTTTGACGAATGTCGGTATGGGATCTCGCTATCAGAGTTACTGTACATTGCCACGACCAGAACAAATCGAATTCGAGCAGCATCCAGTGTACGGTAACGACATTAGCCATATGGCCCAACAAATCAGTATGCTCTACGGACCGTACACTCAAAAATCAGCCACCAATGACATGCAACAACCAATCTATATGCAAAATCAGGTGCGTAAGCATTCATCATTCATATTCAAGTCGACGTCGTTTAACCGAATTGTTTTCCAGTATCAAACTTATGGGTTTTGAACAAAGTTTACGTTTCCTTCAGATGTCTACCAGAGAGGTGTATTTGCATGCTCGTGTTTCTTGCACGATTCTTTTTTATCCATTCGATATAGAGTGTCATCATTTTGTAATACGAATATGATCATATAGATGCAAGCATCACCTCTGCACACTCATACTTCGATCCATATTGGCTTAAACACTTAGCATGTGTTGTTGTGGGGGTATTGGGGTTTATGTTGAGTTCGAGATTGGGGCTAATGTGGTTTAAGTTCGAGATTCGATTCTTATATCTTATGAGTCATTTTCTTTTCGAATTCGGAAAAAAACCTTTAAACTTTTCTGTGTACGACTAGAACAACACAAACGGAACATGCACTTGTTGGAATAATTTTCGATCAAATCCTAAACTCGCCATCATCAATAAAGCTCGTTTTCTTCAAGCGAAAATATGAAACATTTTGTGTTCCCCACTCGAAATATTCATTCTTAAACCACCATTTCCGCAAATTATCAATGAAATTGTTAACATCACCTAAGGAAACAAACAATCTTTACTTAACTCATTACTGCAGTCGATTATGATTGCATGAAAACCTATTGTCTATGACACGCTCACTTCAAAGTGACTCAAATGGATTCTCAATCTTTTCAGACGCGTTGTATTCGCTCTCATAGCTATCACATGCGAAAATCGTTCTATTGATGAGTTTTTCTCATTTACTTCGTCTCATTTCTCTTCACAGTTATATTCAGTTTCTTATTCTGTAGCGTGTACTATTTACTGGATACGTTAACGAGTGTTGACAGCCGAAATCAACAACACAGCAATTGTTCGACAGCCAAATGATCAATTATAGAGTGTACTTGATAGAATGAGAATTTGACTTTTACTGTTGAATGCAATGAATGAGAAATTAGCAGAAGAAAACAATTCTGGTGATAAAAGCTATGAGAGCGTTTGTAAGAGCAAGGAAAAGAATGAAAACCCTGTTAAAACAAGTGATAACCCCGAA